CCTTAGACAGATTTGCAGAGTTTCCATTAATGCATGAGGCAAGTGGGAACTGAAGGAAAGGCTTGAGTTCCCTCAAGCCTGAGACAACAACAGATAGAGCAGAGGCTCTTCCTGCCTGCAAGCAGCCAGTGTAAATGGCAGCACAGATAACTCCCATCCACACATGAATGAACCACCACTTTCAAGACTTTAAAGTTGGCAGAGCTCTAAGGAAACAATAGGTAAAAGCATCTAGCGATCTCTGTGGTCCAAACGCCTAAGTAAGTAAGATCAATTAGAACAAATAGAAGTCATTTCATTGAATAAAGTAGAGCTTCTGGAGGGGACAAAGGATGGAGAGAAAAATGAGGACAGATTTTAGAGGTGAGCATGCCTTGTATAACTAAGAAATTAAGAGTATAAATGGAGAGAATAATTTCTATTTAAATTTGAGTTAAAAACCTTAAGACCAGGTTGAAGAAATATGCAAAAGAAAAGAGGGAAATAGATATTGGAGAACTTATCATTGAAAATATGAAGGAGCTAGTAAATGCATCCAAACTAATTAAAAAGTGGAAGATTACAGAATGAGATTTGAACACGTATGGGAACATGATTTTATAAAGATTGTTTGATTTGAAGATTCAAGATGTTAATTGACAACTAACATTTAGACAGTGTTGGTGGGTTCTTACCTATACCCTGTGTATGACTGCCTAGGCATATTCTGGAAAACTCCCAAGCTGGTAAGCATTTAACCCAATGGACACCCAGTCTATAGAAGAAGAGAAAAGGAAACTGATAGCTGATAATTCATTTACAGATGAATTCAAAGACAGGAAAGCTATGTCAACAGTTGACTAGGAGAAAATAATCCCTCAAATCCAGCCAGGTGATGGTGGTGCATGCCTTTAATTCCAGCACTCGGGAGGCAGAGGCAGGAAGATCTCTGTGAGTTCCAGGCCATGCTAGTCTAAAGAGCTAGTTCCAGGACAGCCAGAGCTGTTCCACAGAAGAAACTCTGCCTCCAAATAAAAACAAAAACTTCAAATCAAGCTAATCATTATTTATCAGGGAAAAAGATTGAGAGACTAGGAGTGTTCAGCATGGTAAAAGACAATGTAAATTGTGAGTTCTTTTATAATTTCATTTATAATCTCACTGATTCATAATTTGTTAGAATATTAATTAATTTGTATTTCACAAAATTATGCCTGACAGTTGTGATAAAAATAGAGAAACTTGAACAAAATGACATTAAGAATTTAATACCAAACTATAGTCAAGTAAATAAATTAGAAAAATAATATGAATTTCGTTTATTATTAAATGTAAAAATACTAAAAATATGAATTTGTGATTATATCAGCATATAACAGTGTCATAGAATATGCAAATTATGGAACATTTTAATATGACCTAGTTAATATTATGACTTACTTTTTGAACCTCACTTAAAATCAATATCGGCAGACATATTTTTCTAGTTTGTTACTCACAGGTCAGCAAGCAAAATAATACTCCTGTATGTGTATCTTTTACTCGTCATTGGACGATTTTTACAGAGCTAATTCTTATGCTGAGAATCATAGCTATAGGAAACCAAACAAAAAATACTAAGTAGGACACCTAGGAGAGAGATACATGAGTTATTTATGTATATGCATATATGCATACCTATGAATATTTATGAGTACATTTAAGTTTTACAGTATTTATAAGCATTTTATTTTTAAATATTTATGCCAATAATAAGATAGTAGCTGGACAACCATGCTGAAGACACTTAGCTAACCCTTTGCTTCTCTGCAAATACTGTAATCAGTTTCATTTTGAGTGTGAATCCCATAAGCGACTGGATGACCTTCGCTTTTGAGAAGATTAAATGGTTCCCTTGTTTACACTCCTGGAACTTAGCAATTTAAAACAATATTATCTAGGAAGATAAATTGAAGCTCAACCTGTTCAAACTACTTCGTATCCCAAAATAATGGAGTCAGAAAATAATGAGACTTTGTTGAATTATGTATTAGCTGTTTATACTGCAATGAGTGGTTAACGGGGTATGTGATTCAGTTCACTGTGTGGATTTGCAGCCAACGCCTGTGAGATACAGTCAGACAAAATGGGGAATTATGAAAACAAGCTCCCCGCTTGTTTCAAGTGAAAGGTGTCATGTCGCCTCTAAGGCTAGTGGTTAAAAGATTTAAAATCAGACTTACGTGTTGACGACTTGAAATATTTTGAAAAATGTGGTCTGATGTGAGTTTTTAAATTTAAATTTTCCAGGATCGAAAGGGCTCACATTCATTCTGTAACGTTGCCTTAACCCTTTAAACCCTAAACTCTCTTAGCCGTGCCTGGTGTTGCCGTGTATATGGAGCCACAGAAACACAGCAGGCGGAAACCAAAGAGCAACAGGAAAGGCCTTGGGAAGTTGCCTGGAAAATATGTCTGGCTCTGAAGAAAGTTGAAGACAGATTTTTCTTAGGAAAAGAAAAAAAAAATACTCTATCAGGCTGGCCTCCTGTCAAAGGTGCTAAAAAAAAATTCTAAATGTTTTTGCTTTATTCTCATTTTGGTTGATAATGGAAAACAAGTCCCACTGGAAGAATTCAAAGCCAGGATTTTAAGTAGGAACAACCAAAATGCTATACAGGCTTTGGTTTTCGTTTAAAAGAGAACTGAGGGAGGGAGGTAGGAGAAGGGTGTATATACCCACATTATTGCCTGCGTGAGATGCCCAAGAACCTAAGAAGACAGAGCAAAACTGACGTCCATGCACGGCTACTGTCATTTCTCACACGAGAGAGTTGTATTCATCATTATGAGTGTTATGTCCAGAGCACATAAGCATTGAGATGGAATTTGAATCAAAGTTTGTACATTCCTAGTTTTATTTGCCTATTCTTGAAAAATCAGTTTGCTTCCTTTACAAAAAGGCATATTGGCCATGAGGATTCGCACCATGTGAAGAGTGATGTACTGAATTTTTAGGTGATTTTTAATAGTTTATTTCAACAATTAAGCATTTATCTTAACATTTGTTTAATAAAAGTAGCACTTCAAGATGTCAGTTGATTGACATCACCTGTAAGGTCGATATGTATCCAGATTAAGTAAATTTAACTGTATGCCAAATTCAAATGATATAACAAAAAAATCACAATATAATAATATACATCAGAAATACGGGGCCAACATGTGATGCTTATCTTTCTAAATCTGAGTTACTTACTCAGTATGATATTTTCTGGTTCCATGAATTTACCTGCAAAGTTCATTATTCAATTTTTCCTTTACAACTGAAGAATGTTCCATAATGTATATGTAGCACAGTTTTATTATTCCTTTGTCAGTTGTAGGACATTTAGCTTGTTTCCATTCCCTGTCTATTGAGAACAGAACAGCAATGAGCAAGGCTGAGGAAGCCCCTGTGGATGGATTGTGTGAAAGTTATCTCACCTGTATTTAATTTGATTTATCACAGTGGTTCTCACCCTTCCTAATTCTGCGACCCTTAAATACAGTTCCTCTTGTTGTGACCCTCAACCATAAAATCATTTCGTTACTACTTCATAACTGTAATTTTGGTGCTGTTATGAACCATGAAGTAAATATTTTGAGAGGTAGAGGTTCCTCAAAGGGATCACGATCCACAAGGATTAGAAGCACTGAATTAACACATCCATTAGTGGTTGGAGACAGGTATTGGGTCAAGCCAAAAAGGATTTTTCCCTCCTATTTTCTACCTTCTTGTTTTAAGAAACATATCTGAGAATGTCACATTTTTTGGTTTAAATCCCTGGGCTTATCCCGTGACTTGAAGGGCAATAGTCAGTGAAGACAGACTCCGCATCCACGCCTTCACAGCTCTTTCCTCTGCAACTACGGTTTAATTGTGGTGGATTTCTCCAGGTAACTCAAAATAGTCTCATCCAGGATCCTTAACTTACCCATCTGCAGAGTCCCTTCTGCTGTTTGAGAGGCAGAATGTCCCATCAATGTCATGGACATCTTTGGCATGGGAGGTTTTCTGCTGCAATGTCACACCGAATTCATTTTCAGACTCTCATCAGCATCCTTCTCTGGCACGCAGTAGATCCTTTGAGTCTACTAATTACAAACAAATGCATCCAGTGTGTTTGAGAACATCACGAGGGCTCTCACCCCACTGCTGGCCATGAGCAACAACTTTGGCATGAGGGTTATTAGGGTTTCATATATCGTTTGAAATTTACCAAAACAACTTCATTTAGATTTTAAATAGTAGCTAAGTGTGTGGGCATTGGTCCTAGCCTGCCTGGGTCAGATTGTCAGCTTCGAGATTCATTAGCTATGAAACTGACCACAATTAAAATAAAAAAAAAAAAAACAACTTTTGACACTTGCCCAAGTTCAGACTTGGATAGCTAACATCCTTGACATCATGGGAATGCGGTAAAGATTAAAGAGACTCATTATGTCAGATTTATCCTGCTGAAGGGAATGCCAGCTGCCATGATGATCATTAACAAATCATTACTGAGTGATGAGGACAGTTCAGACACACATTCTGTGGAAATCTCATCTGGAGTTTACTGTTATATAGTCTATCATGATTTCATGGTACAGAACTTCATTCCTTGGTTCCCAATTTAATAGTAGATTTAAGGAATTTGACAATTGTACATTAAACCTTGGATCACGACTATTTAGTGTTGACAATTTAATGTTCCATAATGAGACTTTTTTCCCTCCATACTTGAGATAGAGAGATAATGAGTGTGAGAGAGAAAGACAGACAGAGTCAGAGACAAAGACAGAGAGATCAACCGACTTGTGGTCAAACATTTGATATTTCTAGAGACAATTAGCTTTATTCTTTGAAAATGTCATCTAGCCTTTGGCAACGTGATTGAATTTAACCTTTGCAATAAACACCTGGGCATTACAGGCACGAAGCAGAATTTAGTGGAGAGGTTGAGAGGAACATCCCTTTGACACAGAGAACAAATCTTTCATTATGATCTGTCTTGCAGAGACTAAAGTAAGAACTTCCTGTGTGCTGTCCCCAGGCGAAGGCTTCTCAGAACCCTGTACTAAGTGGTAATGCTACACTTCTACTTGTAGGTAAGTCATATTTTCCCTTCTCTTGAAAATAGATAATTTTCTCAAAAAAAGGTGTGTTGATTATGGTTTCCCCTCCCTCTATTTCTCTCAGTTCCTCATTGCAATCCCGCCTACCCAGCTCCACCCCGTTTCTGTTTCTATCTCCCAGAAACAACAGGCCTTTGAAAGATAATGATAAAATGTATTAAGACAGGAAAGCTAAGATATCAGAATAAGAAAGAGCGAACAAAAAAGTAAAAGAGCAGGAGAAAGAAGAAAAGAAAGATATAGATGCAGAGACCCACTCATTTGCAAGCACACTCAGGAATCCCATAAAGTCCTAATGTATATGAAAAGGACCTGTAGAGTACAAAATACAATAAAATGTATAAAGTGCAAAAAAAGTAAAAATAGAGTTAAACTTAAAAAGCACAACAAAAACAAGACCTACAATGTTGCCGCTGAGTTCATTTTTTTGTTGTCCTCTACTTGAGGAACACGCAGCCTATGCCCTTAAGAGTAATTTGTTTACCCACAGAGACTTCTTGAAGAAAAACTAAATTGTTATTTGCAACTTGGGATAGATTCTGGGTAAGGTACAAGAGCTTCTGTCCACTTCTCTTTGAGCTCTTGGATGCTGGCTCTGGTACAAACTTGTGCAGGTACTGTGCACGCTGCCTACTTGTTTGTGAGTTCAAACATGCTTAGAGGCCTTATTTCCTTGGGGTTCTCCACTCCCACTGATTTTACCGTAACTCTTTAGCCCTCTCCTACCAGGTTTCCTGAGCTGTGAAGGGAGGGATTTGATGGACACAGGCCATTTAGGGCTGAAGATTCCAAGGTGGCTCTGTACATTGTGAGGGTCTCTGCATTTGTTCCCATCTGCTGCAGGAGAAAGCTTCGTTGTTGATGACTGAACCAAATACTTACATATGAGTATAGAAAAATATCATTGGGGTCATTTTATTGCTACGTTCTTTTAGTAGAGCAGTAGCATTTGGTCTAGAATCAGGTTCTTGGTCACCCATGCAGTTTTGGGAATAGGTCTCACCTTGTAGGGTAAGTCTTAACAGGTATCCATTAGCCACTCCCACAAACTGTGCCGCCACTGCAGTAGCATGGCTTGCAGCAGGACACCACTGTAGATCGCGAGATTTGGAGCTGGTTCTTACTTACATTTCTCCTTTGAGTACTTTTCTGTACCAAGGGCACAAACACACCGGGGTAAAGGCACATTGTAGGCAGTCAACTTCACCATGTTCTATGAGGTGTGTTGTCTTCAGCAATGGCGACTTGCTGTCAATTTCTGGAGAGCCACCAATAACCTTGGCAACAGCCTGTGTTTTCAAGGATTCCCATGAGCCCCTTCTGGACAGCACCTAATTACATGCAACATGTTAACTGCACTGGAAACATTGTTTGATGACAAGAAATGTCCAGCTGGGGCTCTGTCACTCCCCTTCTCCGGTAATTTTATTTAGGTCACTTCTACATATGTCTATATTTTAGGAAGATCCTACTATATTGGGTTTCCATACTATCCCTAAAATGGCCATGAAATCTAGTTGTCTGTCTCTCTATCCCCTCCTTCACCTCTTTACTTCTCTTCCCCACTTGATCCTCCTGTTCCAGTTTCCCTCCTCCTAATGATCTATTTATAATAATCTATTATATTTCACTCTCTTTGGATGATATATCTCTCCACCCTCAGAACCTTACTCTATACCTACCCTCTGTGGTTCTATGTATTATAGCTTGACTATCGCTGACTTGAAAGTTAATATATACATCTAAGGGAACGCGTACCGTATTTGTTTTTCTGGGTTAGGGATATCTCTCTCTGGATGATTCTTTTCTAGTTCCATCTATTTACCTGCAGTTTTCATAATTTCATTTTGTTAATGACTGAATAACATTACATTGTCGAAATGTACCCCCCACATATATGTATATATATGTGTGTGTATATGTATATATGTGTGTATATGTATATGTATATATATCCATCTGTTGAGGGACATATAGATTGTTTCAAAATTCTAGCTGTTATGAATAGAGCAGCAATGAAGATGGCTGCAAAAGTGTCTCTGTGCTTGGAAGAAGCATCCTTTGGGTTTGTGCCCAAGAGTAGTATAACCAGGTCTTGAGGTAGAGAGATTATCATCTTCCTGAATAACTGCCACGCTGATTTTTATTGTGGCTGTAATGAGTTCCACTCCCACCAGCAAGGGATGAGTGCTCCCCTTACTCCACATCCTCATCAGCATGCACTGCCATTAGTTTTATTTATTCCAGCCATTCTGATGGCTGTAAGATGCAATCTCACGGCAGTTTTATTTTTATTTGCTTGATGCCTAAGGATATTGAACATTGTTTTATGTCCTTCTCGACCATTTGAGCTTCCTCCTTTGAGAATTCTCTGTTTAGATATGTACCCATTTTTAATTAGGTAATCTGTTTTCTTGATATCTAGATTTAAAATTTTTTTCATGTATTTTGGATATTAGCCCTCTATTGGATATGCTGCTGGAGAAAATCTTTTCCCATTTTGCTGGCTGTTGCTTTGAGCAAATGTGTCCTTTGATGTGCAGAAGCTTTTCAGTTTCATGAGGTCCCCAGTATTCATTGTTGATCTTAGAGCTTGCCCTAACGGTGTTCTATTCAGAAAGTCTTTTCCTATGTCAATGGGTTCAAGACTACTCTTTCTTCTGACACATTCAATGTATCTTTATCTGGTTTTGTGTTAAGACTTTTGATCTATTTGCAATTAAATTTTGTGCAGGGTCATGGGTTTCTTTGTATTCTTCTACACAGAGACGTGCAGTTTGACCAGTGCCATTTGTTAAAGATGCTGTCTTTTTTTTTCCAGTGTGTATTTTTGGCTTCTTTATCAACAATCAGGTGTCCATAGATAGGTGTGTGGATTTACCTCTGGATCTTCTGACCCTATTGGTCGACTGGTCTGTTGTTAGACCAATATCATGCTGTTTTTATTACTATTGCTCTGTAGTAAAAATTGACATTAGGGATATCGATACCTTTAGTGGTTTTTTTTTTTATTATTCACAATTAGTTTAGCTTGTTTTTAGCAATCTTGACTTTCTAGTATTTCTGTATGAAGCTGAAAATTGTCCTTCCAAGATCTGTGAAGAATTGTTTTGGAATTTTGACGGTGATTGTTGTAAATCTATTTATTGCTTTAGGAGGGATGGTCATTTTTAATATATTAATCCTACGGGCATGTACAGCCTTTCCATTTCCTGCTACCTTCAATTGTTTTCTTCAGTGTCTTAATATTTTTATCATGTAAGTCTTCCGCTTGCTTTGTTAAAATTACTCCAACATATTTTTTATTCAAGGTTATTGCAAAAGGTGTTGTTTCCCAGATGCTTCTCAGTTCATGGTTCACTTCTCAGTGTGTAAGAAGGTTACCAATTATTAGTGAATTAATTTTATATCCTACTACTTTGGTGAAGACGTTTATCAGATATTAGAGCTTTCAGATAGATTTTTTATGGTAACTTCCATAGACTATTATAACATCTGCAAATAAAGACACTCTGACTTCTTCCTGTCCAGTATGTCCTCTTGATCCCCTTCAGTTGTCTTCTTCTTTTTTTTTTTTTTTGCTAAGATTTTAAATGCTATATTGAATAGGTATGGAGAGAACCTCACAGAACTTTCTCATCAAACCATTTGCCCCTGGGCTATTTGTTGTTCGGAGACTTTTAATGGCTGCTTCTTTTTCACTAGGGTTTATAGAGCTGCTTAAATTGCTTATCTAATCTTAAGTTAACTCTTTTCCAACATAATGTTTTTATTGATGATTTGGGAATTTCACATCATGCTTCCAATCACACTCACTTTTCAGTCCTCCCTGCCTCCCACCCTTGTGACCTGCCGACCCCCCATACCCCAAAAGAAGAAAAAGAAACAAGTCCAATTTGTGTTGCCCATATGCTCACTGGAGCATGGACAAACACCCAGTGACCATCCCCTTAAAGAAAATCGAGTCTTTCTCCACTCCCACTCCCACCAGAAGCCATCAGTTTTGGCAAACTACACTTCAGCATCTTTATCACAATTTTAAGAGGTCTCTTCAATGGCTTCCTTCTAGGCTGTTACTTTTAGGGAGCCTGGGGATGGGTTGGGGTAAGGTCGTAGAAGCCATCCATATCACTCTTTCTCAACTGTGAATCTGCAGACATTGATGCCACTGCAAAAGTAGCTTCCTCGCCTTTTATGGTCAGCAGGAACATGGATCCTGGGCTGCCTCATGTCTTTTGGAGACAGCACGACCATGGATATCTACATGGTCTCTGGTGTCAGCAAGTGCCACAGACCTCAGAATGAATTACAGTGGCAGCATAGGCCAAGGACATCAATATGTCCCCCCAGGGCGACACCAACCATGGTGTCCCACATCTGCTGGATGTTTTGTGCCAGGAGTGTTTTAGACTTAACATGTGCTTTGACTGAGGTATCCATTTCTTCTATAATGTCTTTACTGCCTGAGATTATGTCTTCTTCCTCTCATATTCTGTCAGTTAGACTTGTCTCTGAGGTTCTTGTTATAGCTCCTAAATTTTTCATTTCCAGATTTCCCCAATTTTGTTTTTTTTTTTTTTTTTTGATTCTATTTCCACTTTCAGGTCTTGAAATGTTTTATTTATTTATTTCTACTTTCTGTTTTGTATTAATAGATTTCTTTAAGGAATTCATCCATTTACTTTTTAAGAATCTCTATCATGTTCATAAAAGCTATCTCAAGGTCCTTCTTCAACTATGATACAATTCCCAGGGTCTACTGTGGTAGGGTTGCTGGGATCTATTTGTCCTGGCTGTTATTGATTATGTTTTTATGCTGGTATGTAGGCATCTGGGTTTGGCATGAGTATAATTCTACGTGCTGATATCTGGCCTTGTTTTTGTGAGTGAATGCTTGGTCCCTTGGTTTTTGTTTCCCTTTTTATTTATTAAGAAGGTGTGATATGGTGGGTGGGTGTCACCTGGA